ACGACGAATGGATAAGGATTGAGCCAAGAGCTTGTGTGAGCAAATCCAATTTTTGGCAGCCAATGTCAGTTACGCGGTTTTGCAGAATGACGATACGCGGTTTTGTACTTTAAACGACGATATGAGCATTGAAGTCGGCTGGTTTTTCTTTTTGCTTAAAAATCAATTGTGTTTGTTTAGAGGGAAAACTTTGACTAAATACTTTGAAGATGTGTTTCTCGTACTATTGTTTTTTTTTTACTTACAGAATTCTTCCAGTTCATACTCTGCGACACGAGTGGAAGCAATTTATTGCTCATAGAAAGCCATAAACATCAGTATACCCCTTTGTATAATAAAAAATTCCGATTAAAAAAAATTATATGGGGATGAATATGTCCTGGTCCTGAACTTAGCGGTCAAATTTTTTAGCGGGGATGATGTTGTTGTTGTTGTTGTAGCAGCATACAAGTTCCCCATAGAGTTTTGGGGAGTGTTGCTGGAGTGACAGTCCTTGGCCAGATATATGTAAATCTGGGTCGTTCCGGTTACGTAGACCCGACTGTCGTGGGAACGGGTGATAATAATTAGGGGATGATAATAATTAGGGGATGATAATAATTAGTGGTGTTATTGAAATATTTAGATTTCGTATGAAAGATATTAATTTACATTTTGTCTCATACATACATATATCGTCGTTTAGAGTACAAAACCGCGTATCAACAAAATGCGAAACCGCGTATCAAAATAATGCAAGTAGCACCGCGTACTGAGGTTGCATAAATTATTTTATAGAGTAAAAACACTCATATTTCAAAATGGTTCTCTTTTTTATAATGCAATCGCGTTTCTGGCTAGTATAGTTCATGACGAACGGATAAGGATTGAACCAAGAGCTTGCGCAAGCAAATCCGATTTTTGGCAAAAAATGTCAGTTACGAGGTTTTGCAGAACGACGAAACGCTGTTTTGTACTTTAAAAGACGATATATATATATTTTTAAATCACGTTATTAACAATATCAATTTAGTAAACCAGACGGAACAGAAAATTAGCTTCGATTTAATATACACGAATACATATACATATATCTACGTACCTATATTAGAAAAATTACATTTTACGTAATTTAAATGTTGATTTAGGTTTACGATTTTAGTTAATTTTGTTCTTTATACAAAAACTTGTCCTTTCTACTTCAGAATATTTCTTAAATTTTTGGTTGTTCTTCGACAGTTCCTTCCAGTGCCGCCACAACTTTTCAAAATAAAACAAATGGCAAAGACCGTAAATAGATTTCAGTGCTGCCACACCCTTCTATTTACGATCTTTGACCGTAGTTTTAACCCAACCGACGGTAGCAATTCATTAGCATAAATACTAAAATTTTTGTATTGCAATCGATAGTTCGTCGATTGTTCTTTACTGTTCGTCCATTTTTAACATTTGTTCGTTAGCCACTCATTCATAATTAATTTTTAAATTTTTATTTCACGTTATTCCTGCATCTAGCACCTCCTACAGATTATTTTTTGTTTGGAAAGGTATTTTAAACATCTTCCGTTTGATACACATAGGCGTTGTTTCCTTTCTTTTCTAGAAGATAATTATCAGGAAGAAGAGAGTGAAATAAAGAAATAGCAAAGAAACGCAAAACTAGCAGAAACCAGCAAGTAAACAGCTGATCGTCGTATTTGTCTTTTGAAAATATTTGGCGCGAATTTTTATCCATTTTGACAGCTGCTAGTAAAAATTTTACATATATGTATACATATTTGAAAGGATTTCAATTCCCTTTACAACCATATCCACGTTTTGATAATAGGTTCAATAATTTTCGTAATAAGAGCTTTTAAAAATAGTGAAAATTGTGCTTTTACCACCCGCTAGCACCGCCCCTATTAATTTGCACCAAGTTTCTTGTAAACCGTTAGAATCAATGGAAGAAGGCGAACCATGTCCACTTTTTTTCCAGCTGAGCGGGCCCTATTTTTTACTTAAACCTAAACAATATAGGTTGCCAAAAAAAACTCGCACAGTTTTAACAATTGTTTTCCTAAATTTTAGCAGTGTTGAGAATTTTCAGTGGAATATTAGTTTAGGTACTAAAATTTAGGTCAACTCGCACACGGCCTTAATAAAAATATGTCTATGACAAACATTTTTTTTTATGGTTTTTATTTCAATCATATGACTACTTTATGTATGCATTTTATTGTATATTTTGTATTTTGAAAAGTTTATGAAAATATATTTTATATAAAATTTAATTAAACGGGAAATTTTAGTATAGTCTTATGCAAATAAAATGTAGGGAAATACATTTCTTAATACCAAAATTATGATAACAGTATCCTCATAAGGCTACTTTTGAAAAAAATCAGTTTTAAAAGTATTCTTTTCATTTATTTTTTATAAAAACAAATTTTTTCAGAAATTTAAAACGCTATTTACAAGGAATTCACTCCAGGAGCAAGGTGCTTTAATTTCCCTTAAAACGGAATCCGGAAAATGCTGAAAATTTCGAAGTAGTCTCGAAAATACCGAAATAGTCCCGAAAATCGAGGCCCAAATAATTCCGCAACTACCGAGTCCCGAGAATCCTCAAAATGTCGAAGATAACAAACGAAAATAATGAGATGTAAAAAATGTTTGGTTGAGGAACAAACGTTAAAAATTCATGAACAATTAAGAACAATAAACGAACTAACGATTGCAATAATAATAATAATAATAGATGTAGGAATAACGTCAAGAAAAAATTTAAAAATAAATTAATAATTTGTGGCTAACGAACAAACGTTAAAAACGGACGAACAGTAAAGAACAATCGACCAACTATCGATTGCAATACAAAAATTTTAATATTTATACAGACGAAGTGCTAACGTCGGTTGGGTTAGTTTTTTTGTGGCAAGGCAGTGGTGGCAGCACTGAAAAGAAGCGTCGAAGAACAACAGAGAGCGTGAATTCGAGTGAACCGTTTGTTTTCGCATCATAGCCGTCAAATTTACAAAGATATGTATTTTTACATGGCGCGATGAAAAATATGTGTATTTAGTTTTAATTTGGCCAAGAGAGTTATCAACACGTAAACAACATTCATATAAATAAGTGTAAGAAACATTTATATTGCTTTGGACTCAAGTAATAGCATCTCAAAACAGAAGGCAAAAAGTGGACAACGAAAAGCGTAACGTCGCAAACAAAACCTAACCTCATATTCGTGCAAAAGCAGGCAAAGGAAACGTCAAAGATTAGCATTAGTGTCAGCACCTTCCATTGCCTTTGTTGTAGGCAGTGAATGCAAGAAATATAATACGAGAATTAACAAGCGGTCGCGCCAGAAAATTTCCCGAAGATTTCACCGAAAAGGAAACAAAGTTTTCATCATATTAGAATGGAAGTGGATGATGCTGCTATGGTGTCTGGAGATACACCAGTTGGACATGCAGCGTCACCACGCTGGTTAGCAGAGAATGGCGGCGCTCGTACAGCCAGTCACATTGGGCGACGTAATGACACGAAGGCTACTGCTACAGCCGACAACGTAGGAGATCCACCCGAGCTAGAACCACCGCCGGAACAAAATACTGGAGAAATACATTCCGACGATAAAAATGAAGACGATTCACTGTATTCAGAATCAGCTCTAAAATTAGAAGTATCGGGAACGGAGGATGAAGACAGCCGTGATGGAGGAGCATCTGTTTCCCAAACATTAACGGCTAGCTCGGCAGATAAAGAAATGATGAAAATTAATGCTATTAATGTTTCACTCAAACGTAAGCGGTATGAAATTCGAAGTTCTGGATCAAATGAATGCTTATTAGGGTTTGATGAGAAAAGCGGGGAGGCGAAACTCGTAAAAGCGGAATTCGCCTCATTCTCAAAAGAATCTGAAGAGAATGTAGTGCATGAAAGCCCGGATAATTCCCCTCGTCCTTCAAAAAAAATAAAGCATGTAAGTAAATATTAACATATGGATATTGATATTGGCTTAGTATTAGTGGCTTGTGTAGAAATAGGAAATTTTTTACTCAATTTTGTTCATCAAACCTTTATTTCTACATCAATTCCTTAGAAATCAGGCGAAACCTCTCCATCACTGGCGTCGCCAAAATCGCAACAGTCACCCAAAATTTCTCAAGTCGATACTATTAATATCGAAAAAAAATCTAAAAAAGAGGAACTCTCCTTAGAGCAGCGCTCTGAACATATAGTGGCAGATACCGAAGAAATAGAATCAAAAACAGAAGCGGATCCTCAAATTTCTAGCTTGTCAAATTCTGGCACACAAGTAGGAAACAGTGTCAGCAAAAAACCATTGTCTGCTCAAGATGATTTTTACAAGAAGCCGTTCGAATACGGTTGGAAGCGTGAATTGGTTTGGCGCGCTAATATGGAATCAAGTAAAGATAAAGCTGACGTGTACTTTATAACACCTGGTGGAAAAAAATTGCGTACAAGGGGTGACATTATACCCTTACTTGAAGGTGATCTAACCATAGATAATTTCAGTTTCGTTCGTGAGCCACTTGGCGTTGGGTCAGAATTCGAGATAGTGCGAAGTGCAAAGCCTTCTGGCCGCGCATCAGCATCAGCCACGGCCCTAGCAGCGGCACCAACCCCTACGAACATCGGTAAGCGAATATCTAAGCCCAAAGGTCCGAAAGGCGCCAGCCCACCTCCCCAAGGTTGGACACCGACGCGGGCGCTTAAAGTAAATAACGCCTTGCTTAGTGGCAATGCTTCGAGTAGATATACAAGCCATGGCACTCCTGGGACGCCACCAAGTAGTCGACATGCCAGCTCCAGTAGCGGTGCAAGCCATAAAAGCGCTAAAACTAAAAAGTGAGTATTTAAGTTTTGTATTAATTATGCTTTAGTTATAGCTCGCTCTCGTTAATTGTGAATAAGCATATGCACGTATGTAGTTTCTTCTGGCACTTTTCGGCGTTTATATCTGATGAAATTTATTTTTATACTTATTTTGGATTTGAGTAGAATTTGCTCACTTTTCGTTGTACTAGAAACTTATATTAGAAAGTATGACTTCTGGTTTTAAGGGGATCTGTCAGCACAAGTGTGACTGTTACAACCGCCAATGCAAGCGCTGGACCGGCTAATAATCTGAATTCCCGTTCAACACTTGAACCGTGCACAATCAAATGTTCACGAGCATCTGGACAAGTACCACAACTTAAATGTTTTAAATGCCTTTGTCTATTCCATCACGAATGTGTCGGCTTAAGCCGTTCAAGTAGCGAATATTGTATTGCTGGAGAAGGTGGTGCTCTATCGAAGGGACGTGAATATTTCTGCGAGGTGACTACTGGATATAATGCCTAAATTATCGTTAGATTTCTCATGGCATTTGACTGTTTTCTTTTATATTGTAGGCTTGTGTGCCGGTTTCAGAGGCTTCATCTGGAACAAAATTAGCGACTACACGGAAACCAACTATCGGTCGTCCTATACGTCTAGAAAACAAGTATCCACAAACCATTGCAGTAGTGAAAGGGAAAAAGTATGTGATGGTTGCCAAACCTATTGCTCCCCCAACTGAGTGAGTGTGCGAGTGTATTGTGTCCCAAAACACAACTTATCCCTAATTCCTATCATAAATACGAGAGCGAGAAATCCAATCCCACTTTTAGGTCTACATGATTGATAAGAAAAATATTAATCCGCTTCTTTTAACTTGCAGACATGTCAATGATATTGAAAATGATTTGAAGCAAATTAACGAAAGTATCCGAAACAATCGTAAGACATCTGCAGCTTCTTTAGATGCACCTGTTCTGGCACATAGCATTCCAGCCGCTCAAACTACAGTAGATCAATCGAATAAAGTTTTTGCAACAAACTTTTTCGCTAATGTATCATTTGCTTATGATGCATTACTATGTATTCTTAAGTACTTGAAAATACATGTGAGTAACTGTGCAATAAATCTGTTTTATATATATAAATTTTGCAATCAATAAATATTGCGAGTGGCATCTAAAAACTAGAATCACAATACAAAAGAGGGAAGTGATGATGTGACCCATTTTTAATCTTCGTCACTCGCAATATAACTGCCATGTAATCACTCCACTGTAATGAATCATTTTATACAATTGTATAAAACATACCGTTTACATAGTCGACTAATATGTTTATGTTTTTGTTACAGGAACGTCCACGCGCTGCATCTGTATGTAAACTCTGGCATCTCGCTGCTAAGGATACATCTCTCTGGCAAACTGTTCGAATGAAAAACTCTAGAGTTAGCAGTTGGGCAGGTTTTGCCGCTGCACTACGTCGTGGTGAAACAAAGCATTTAGATCTAAGGAAAATGTTAGTGTCTAGCACACGTGGTGAAGAGATGTGGCAAGACTTTTCCGAGCATATAGGAACTGTTTGTTCCTTGGAAATAATCGATTTATGTCGTTGCTCTGCTCGCATTGTTGAAAGTTTATTTCAAAGCAACAAAAATTTGCGCATTTTAAATGCCGTTGCCATTAATGATGATTCTATAAGTCTAGAGCACATTGGAATGCTAACGCGTCTAGAAGAGTTGCGTCTGAGAACATGCGAGCCAGGCGTAATTACAGGCAATTTGCAGTCACTGCAAGCACTTGTTAAACTAAACCAACTATCTTTAACATCTGTGCGTGAGTTGGGGTCGAAAGGTGTGGAAGTAATTGGTGAATTAGTGAATTTGCGTTCACTGGAGTTGGGTGAATGTGGTGACTTTGATCCCACGTTCGCAAAGGTTGTACTTCCCAAATTAAAGAATCTTCGACGCTTACGTCTCGAGAATGGACAAGAAACCAACTGTTGTACTCTTGAAATACTAGACGCTGTGGCACAACTTGAGGAGCTTTCACAGCTAGAGCTTGTAAACTTCGATATTAAGTCTGGATTTGATGAAAAATTGCAACTTTGTACTAACATTCGGAAGTTGCTGATCATACCGACATATATTTCGCAATCAGCTACGACAAATCATATTGTTTTGAATGCCGTACAGCAAGTGGCTTCCACATTGAAGGTGTTCACGTGGGGAGTAACAGTTGAGCTGTTGCGGGTAACCGCTTTATACGTTGATCAATGCGAAGAATCTACTAAAAAGGAGAAACATCACTTTGATGAATGCATTCCGGTCCTAAAACCTGTGCCCGGAGCACCAGCTGCAGACGATGAAGACGAAGATGATGAGGAGAGAGAAAACGCCAGGGACGAATCAGTCCTTAGCGATGTCCCACAAATTGAAATTCTACCATTAGACAAAGTAGAATCCATACTGGGCGACAATTTGCCGAAAACTAAATTTACAATTGTAAAAGTGCCGTATCATGCAACGTGTAAGCAGCAGCTAGTTGAGTGAAAGCTTAATGAATAACTGAAAATAGGCATTCTAACTTTTATACCATGAAAATAGAAGTTGGTTATACTAACAAAATGAGATGGGGGAATGATTCCGAAGATCTGCAGCATTCGCATTCTAATTCCGGATTATTAAATTTATCCGACTTTGAAAGCCAATTTATAAGAATTGCTTGTGTACAATATATGCAAAGTTCATCCTGTTTTATTTAATTGGAGAGTTGTTATTATTTGGGAAATAATTTGATTGGCTTAAAACCACACTTCGTATCATTACATTTTAGCTTGCACAGCACAGATAAACAGCTGGCGCAAAATTCCCAAACTCGTTACAATCACACTCATTCGCAAACTTTGAACAGTTAGCTAAGTTTTCTTCAGCTGAGTATATATGTAGTTACTCAAGTCTTATCGATTTATTATAATTATTAGCATTAATATCCTTAAAAATGAAGTTTGTAATATTAACCTGTAATAATTTGAGTTGCAGTTTTACAATCGCAATAAATTGTAGACGTAATTGCAAATTTTTGTTTTTATGTAATGGATTTTTTTTTTTTACTGGAGATATTCGAGGCGTAGAGAATTGCTCTTGGATTATGAACGAGCTGACGTCAATCAATTTTTACTTTGAATCAATCAGGTGCCAACCAGAGTTAGTAATAAAATTGAGAATGCTGTAATTTTTTTAACATTGGCAATGTTTTTCATACAAATATGTTTTTTTTTAACTAAAATAATGTAGTTTAATAACACCATTAGGGTGGTCCTTAAAAATTAAATGAACGATCTTTTTCAGTCTCACCCCCTCAATCGGTAATACCACGGTCACAGATATCACATATAAATTTTGGTCCCGATTAGAGACGGTTAAGGCGTGTCGCACAGGGGGGAAAGTACAGATTCCTCTCTAAAATTGAAAAAATTGCAATTAATTCTTTTTTTGAATAAAATTTTTACGAAAGAATTTGAATACGCGATAGAATGCAAGGGTGGCTCCAAATCAGGTTCTCACAATCTTTCCAGAGTTCAGACATTTTTAGTGTTTTTCTGGGGAGTATAAGTAGCGGCCGCTGTGGTGTAGTGTTTAGCAGTACACGCTACCATTCCGCAGGGCTCGGGTTAAGGCGCGGTGCAACCCAACATCAAAAAA